ATATTTATTTAATCTCAGTAGGGCCCTGACCTTCCTCGTTACTACCCAACCGAGGTTAGGCTTAGCACTTACTGAGTACCGCTGTGGTGTACTCATGCCTCTTCTGTGCATGTTTTTTATGTGCAGATCTAGGTACCTCTATTCAAGCCTACCATCCTTGAGAGAGGCGACTGCTTAGAGACTTCGAGGTACATCTGCCGCATCCGCAGACCGAGAAGTCCCTTTCTATTCATGCTTTTAGTATTTAGCCATTCTGTACTTCTGTTGTTATTAGACGAAATTCTGGAGTTAGAGCTATGTAGTATTTCTTTTTCTTAGCTTGTGATTCGTGGGTTTCCGGGTCTTGGATTTTGATATTGATTTTGAGATCTATATAAATATGGTGTATGCCAAGCGGCACATTTAACACTGTTATTGCCTTATTTCTGTCTTTAAATTGTTTTACTTCCGTAAATTTTGGTTTTCTTCCGCAATTTAGGATTACCTAGTTATAGAGACTAGGTGCCGTCACGATGGTTCACGGAGGGCGAACCGGGGTCGTGACAAAAGTTAAGGACATTTGGTCTTGAACTTCAAGTTTCAAGTTCCAAAGTTAAGGACACTTGGTCCTGAACTTCAAGTTTCAAGTTCAAAAGTTAAGGACACTCAGTCCTTAACTTTGAGTTCCAAGTTCAAAAGTTAAGGACACTCAGTCCTTAACTTTGAGTTCCAAGTTCAAAAGTTAATGACACGTAGTCCTTAACTTTGAGTTCCATGTTCAAAAATTAATGACACTTGATCCTTAACTTATATGAACACAGTTAACTAAAAATTCATAAATACAATTAGCTTATGAATTCGTACGACTATTTTTATGAAATGTCCTTACATAATCAAATCTATTGATTGAACCATAAACACATTTCAATACCAAAAATTTCTGAATAACTTCCTCAAAAAAATCTGCTCCTTATTCGACACTGAATTAACTTATAATCATTATTTTTGAAATTTCACATATACTTGATGCCAAACACAGCATTGATCGCGATTACACATATACAAAAACAAAAATGCATAAAAGCAACAAAAAAAAAAAGAAATATCAGTTCGATCGTTCAATGCAGAGAAGATGACGAAGGAGAAAGATTAAGTGCAGCTGGTTTGCATGCAAGGACAATACAGATATTGAGGAGCACGCGAAAGTTGCCTCTGAAAATCGCTATCAAATTTTCCCTCTGAACGAATAAAACAAGGGTTTGGGAATATAAGAATTGAAGAAAGGGTAAAATTGTCTTTTCAAATCAATTTTAATAGAGTGGTGACTATTTTTGCTCAGCATTAGAATTAGTGGATAAAAAATAAACATCACCTTACTTAGTGGCTACCACATGCCATTTTTACACAAATCATTGAGTTGTAGCCCATATTCAACAATGCCTATATTGGGGCCTATAATAGTCACCTGGAAAAGTGAAAATGACATCAACTAGTTACTTTTAAGCATGTTGTTTAAAATATATCTGTATTCAAAAATTAGCCAATTTCACTCAAATTTCAGGACACGGCATCCTAGAGTAACCTCAAAGTTTAAACTTCAGGACATCATGTCCTAAAGTTCGAAAATTGTGTCCGGAAGTTCGAATCTTATGTCCTGAATTTAAATTAGTAGTTTAGAAATTCAGGACAACCGCTCAAAAAATTATGACACTAAATCATGAATTTTCAAATTTAGAATACTTAGTCCTAAAATTTAGGTGAATTGATTAATTTTTAAATATATTTTAAAGTGCGGACTTAAAAGTGTTCGCTGATGCACTTCAGTACCCCTAAACGAGACGGCCACACCTATATACATCTTTTGTAAGTTGGGCACACGATAAAATTAGTCAACTTTATGGCATTACATCAATCTATTGATTGGATTAACATTTCCTCAGTCTCAATCCGATCATATTGTTCCTCTTTTAAGGCAATGGAGTCGACTCAAAGCAGTACCAATCACTAGCTAGCTTGAAATACAATCTTCACCTAATTCGAGCTACCGAAAGCTGTATCTTATTGCACCACTTCTTCAATAATAGACATGTATAATTACGGGTAAATATTTATTCGGGTATTTACATTAAATCATGTCAACTTATCATAATTAAGTGATTTTATTAGATGAAAATATATATTAATTAACCAGGATTTACATAATAAGAGTTTATATGCAAATAAATATCATGCATTTATTAGTTTATTAACAATATTACTTTTTTTATCTTGCGGTTAGGTGTGCACTTTACCCTTCACTTCTCTTGGTATTAGGTAAGCCAAGAAAATAAACGCCACTAATTGCGTGTGAGTTTGCTTATTTCTCTTGACACGCTATTCTCCGGGACTTTTGCATCTATACCCGTTTTTTGTGTCATATTTTAACTTGTGCCCACTTTGTAAAAAAAATTACAAGCGTACCCGCTTTTTCGCATAACTTCAACACACGGGGCTGAAGTAGCAAAGGCAATCACGCAAAACTTCAGCATTCTAGTAGCCGGGCCTGAAGTTCAGCTCTAGAGCTGAAGTTTTTGTTTTATAACTGGCGAACTTCAGCTCTAGAGCTGAAGTTTTTGTGTTGTAACTGGGAAACTTCAGCTCTAGCGCTAAAGTTTTTGTGTTGTAACTGAAAGTTTTTGTGTTGTAACTGAAAGTTTTGTGTTGTAACTGGGAAACTTCAGCTCTAGAGCTGAAGTTTTTGTGTTCTAACTGGGAAACTTCAGCTCTAGAGCTGAAGTTTTTGTCTTTGTAACTGGGGAGTTTTTGTTTGTTTATAATTTCATTTGTCACACCATCTTCTTTCTATCAATAATCCTTGCAGTTGTGGCTGTTTTTTTGCTCTTAAATGATACAGCAACAATGTTATGGTGATGATCTTTTGCATGCCTTGATGATGAAATTACACTTCTGTTATGGTGACATGCAGACGTAGAAACACATTGACTCATTTATTTGTATTCACGATACCAATAACCCAAAATATTTTTAATTCCCAAAATTTGAACTCCTTTAAGAATTTAATTTCGGGGCCATCTTTGTGTGTCGAGCAAGAGCTGAGAAGAAAGAAGAGCAATTACTTGACCCCAATTTTGTGCTATCTTTTCAGCAAAACAAATTTGTGTGTTGAGCAAGAGCTGAGAAGAAAGCAAATTGGTTGTTTCAAATGTATAGGTTGGCGTGAAAATTTATAGGACTCACCGGAAAAATAAGAAGAAGCAGATAGGGATGAAGCTTACTTCTGGAAAAAGAAAAGATAAAACTTTGAGGAGGAGAAAGGGGCTGAAGTTGTTTAAAAAGTGGGTACAAGTTAAAAGTTTTTAAAAAGATGGATATAGATTAAATGGGGGCGACCAAATAGGGCGCCCGTGCAATTTTTACCTATTCTCCATAGCTGACCAAATTAACATGTGCTTTGTTTCACTCTCAACCCCCACCCCCCC